CTATTGGGCGGTAACATATGGAAAGAAAGACCGGCCCTCTGTCTTTGTGTCCTTCCCTTCAAAGGCGACTGTGCACTCAATTCCGGTGAAGGACCTTTCTATGCGCGAGATGAATGGTTCTGCAGCTGCAGTAGAATGTAACCTTCTCCGCACAATAGTGCGCGGGGACATAGCTGGAGGGTAGTGATAACCGAGTGTCTTCTCTATACTCCGCCTGACTATTCTGAGTGTGCAGCGTTTGCGTTGACACCAAAATATCGCAGCAAACACGCAGTCGGTGGTGAACAGCAAGAGGTGGGAGGACGGAGCTATGTAGTGCGTTTTCTAGCGCGTTTGTCTGCGGTGAGGCGTGCGCCTAGCGGTGCGGTGGCGCGGGCGGAGTATGGAGACGGGCACGGATATCGCTCTTATCTACTGCCGTTCCCTTACATTTTTGAGCGAAGAAGGTGGCGCACTACTGCAGCTGTGGACTCTTTCACCTAGCCCATGGCAAGGATCGAGACGACGCAGGTGGGCGCTCTGTCTTCAACCAAGACTGTGGCTTAGGGCGCAGACCACGACAGTCGTCGATGGATAGTTCTGTAGCGAAGATATAGTCTCTACTAAGCGTGAGCCTCGATTTGAGAAAGGGACACATGTGTGGCGGAGTAGTTCCAAAGCCGTCTGTTTATCGCTGCGCATTGCACGGCTATAACATTAGTTCCACTTATGGCGGCACGCAATAACTAGCAGAATGGTTCCTAGTTTGATTTGACGCTTTGAGATCTTCCAATGTATTGGTTGGAAGGAAAGTCTCGTCACTGTTGTGACTTTTTTTTTTTATTTTCTAACTCAACATACAGTGGGAATTAGTCAACAATATACTCGTCATAGTTAGCCACTACAGTGCTCCACCTAATGGACAGGTAAGCATTCCCCTCCTCCCAGAACTGAGGAGGCTGCGAGTAGAGTAAGTCAGGCCTCTCGACTGATGTCATCAAAGTTGCTGAAAGTTTTCTTAGCTAAGAAAGC